TCCACCCCCCCCTCAAATAAGATAATACATGCGAGTTCATGGCTACTGTAGACAACGATCTTGTTGCTCTGTGTTGCGTTGTTAATGCGTGAGACACACCGGAGTCGAGGATCTGTGGGGTTTATTCTCCCAAAAATATAATTTACAATTTAGGCATTTAGCAGATGCCTTATTCCAAAGCGACTTACAGTGACCAATTACAGGGACATTCTCCCTGGAGTAACTGAGGGCTAAGTGCCTTACTCAAGGGCACACTAGTGGTGGTGTTCCAGGCGGGATTTGAACTAGCAACCTTCCGATCATCAGCCCACCTCACTACCCATTAGACCACCAAAAAGAAAAAAGGTTAAACAAGAAAACAATGATATATTTTTTTAATTATTTGTTTGAGATTACCCGCCACAAATGAATCAATGTATGGGAAACACTGCTGCTGTTGAACCCTGTGCCCTGTCTGACTAAACATATTTAGATTTTCTTTATTTTCAGGGTGAAATGTGTGCCAGCCCGGACATCTTTGCCCACCTCACTCACCTCCTGATGAACCTGGCAGGAGGGAAACTGTGTGCTGTGCTGGAGGTCAGGCCACACACACTGAATATCAACACATGCATACAAAACAATTTCACTCACTCACAACTGCTTTCCTGGAGACGACATTAGTTGTTTTGTTGTTTGTCCCATTAACCAAGTCTCTAATCTATTAATACATGTATTGCTTGTGCATATTTATGTTACTCTTCATACCCAAGGGAAACTCCTGCATATTGCTACCATCCTGTTGGAGGGGAAATGCTGTTGTGAAATGTTTTATTATGTGCTTTGTTCCAGGGAGGATACAACTTGACTTCCCTCCCCCAGTCTGTGTGTCAAACTGTTCAAACTTTGCTCGGAGATCCTGCGCCTCGACCTGCAAACCTCGATGGTCCCTGTGAAAGGTGGGTCTGGTCGTCAGTTAGATGTTCCATGTGTGAGTGTGTTTTCTAACTGTAGTGAATCCATGTTTTTATTTTCTCAGTGCACTTGAGTCCCTCCACTGTAGCCGATCGGCTCACAGGAAGTACTGGTCCTGCCTCAAACACGCAGGTATAACATCCACATTATTCTTTTAGAGCCATTCCTTAAAAGTGGAACCTACTTTACCCACAATTCAACATGACTTCTGACAGTTTGGTCTAAGATTCAGGTGCATATTGTTAGAAGGCTCAATCAGACCTAACTTTGACTTTTCACCGCTTTAATAAGTATTTCATTCGTCTTTCTCCAGCTGAGCCTCCCGCCTCTGATGTCAGCACCAAGCGCCCTAAATTAGCAGAAGAAGAAGGAAAAGTGGAGAATGGAGAAGAGAAGAAAAGTGCAGAAGAAGAGGTGTGGCCCGAGCCCCCGAGACGTGTCCCTGCTCCTGTCCGCACTGCTTCAGTCCTCCCTGATGGCGTGTCCTGCCCAGAGGGGTGTGAACTCTTCAGCTCATCAGAGAACCCGGTCACAGTAAAAAAACTCAGGTAACATTCATAGTAATCAACATCATTTCTTATCAATGGCACAAAAAGAGTTTATGAAAGAAAAATAATCATCATTTCATCTTGATTTGTATACAAACGTGTACTTTCTTCCACAATAAGGGAGAATTTCCCTAACGATGACAGCGATGCTCTCCCAGTCCTCTCCAGTCTTATTGCCCTCGTGGAGAAAATGGAGAGGAATGAGGTACAGTCCGGATACTATTTGTCTCTTTGAGTGCCAGGATGTGATCTGTTCCAAGCTGATACCATTATATTTATTACCTCCTTACAGATCTGCAATGGCTTGGCTTTGGTCCACGACGTCACCATGGCGATGACGTGTGTTGTCCAGCATGCTGCAACTGCTCTCAGCAACCGGTAAAGCAATGTGGATCTAATCCTTTATGTACAGTGAATGTTTATTTAAAAACGACTTGAATAGCTTCATATTTAATGAACTTGTTCCCACTTTCTCTTCATGCAGGGTGTTGGTTGTATGTGTTGGAGACGTGGTGGTCCCAACTCATTACAAAGAGGATGGGTAAATATAATCTCTGTGTCCCTGAATATAACTTTCTGATACAACTTGTCCCTCTTGAGCAAATAAAAAAAACATTTGTCCCTAAGAAGATGACAGAAATCTTTCTATCTTTAGGAAAACACTCCTGGTGCACTTCAGCAACAAGGAAGAGGAACAGAAAAGCAAATATCATATTCCTGTGTGTCTGAAGAAGGTACTGTACTCCATCTGTAGCAATGGATAGGATCATCTGGATAATTCTGTTATATTGTCAACATGACGCTATTGTGGCCAACATATGTCTAAGTAATGTATCTAAATGTTTAACCCTATATACTTTTAATGTAAACATATACTGTTTTAGGTTTTGGCCATAAAACACATTTCACCATTGCTTCAACATTATGACCCCGAGGTTGAGATTTCACAATGTACTTCGGAGTATTTCAGTAATTAATAATAATAATAATAATAATAATGTATTACATTTTTTATTAGTTTTAATTATTAAAATTATTATTTATTATTTAATTATTATTATTTATTATTTAATTATTATAATTATAATTTTAATTATCCTATATATTGAAGTATTGCCGTCATGGTTGTGCCCCTCTGTGAATAAGTCTTTTAAGTGTAGGGTATGTGTGTGTGTTTGTTATATGACACATGTGGACACGTCCTATGTGTGTTTGTCCCCCCCCACCTCACAGGGCTGCAGGGATGTGTCCGGCTTCATGCAGGCTGTGCTGGGCCTCCTCCTGCCTCTGGGGTACGAGTATGACCCCAGTCTGGTCCTGCTGGTCCGGGCTCCAGACAGCGGGCTGTGTGACGGAACCTGGCAACAACTGACAGGCCTGCTGCAGGGCCTCGCACAGGGACACACACTGGTGCTGATGCAGGTAAGGAAGGCTGGAGTAGGTTTGATAAAAGTACAGACTGGGACAGAGTTTCATTCAGTCCCCAGGGTCAGAACCAAACATGGAGAAGAAGCTTTCAGTTTTTATTCACTGCAGAACACGGAGAAAAGTTGACTTCCACCATAACCATGCCACTGCTTTTTCCCATGGTCATTAGATCGTAGACCCCTGCCCCTCTTAAATCTACCTAATTGCTTTTGTGTCTGAAATCTGCTAAGCTTTAATAAACTTCCTTACAATGAATGCCAAATGAATCCTTGATAGTGTGGAAAAACAACTGTTAATTTGCGGGAAATTGAAATAGCAGTATGTAATTATTTTTTATAATTTCAGGAAGGTGAGAGTGTGTGTGTCGGCCCCACCGCCTCCTCTCTCCTGGGGGGGGCTGCCCCATCCCTGGGGAAGCTTCCTGCTCCTCTACCGGAGGACGTGGAGGCGTTGGAGAGATTAAGAACCAGACTGCAGGTGGACTGGAAGCTGCTGCAGACTACAGGTGAAATCACAGCCGCAGCAGCATCATAAATAAACATGACACATAATGGGACACCAACAGAGTTTGAAATGACTTGTACTTTAATAATATACACTTTTGTCTCCTAAAACAGCACCAGAAACTGGAAGAGGAGATGAGCACTGAAGCCGATCCTGCTCCTTTCATTTAGTAAAGAAATCAGTTGAAGCAAGTCAATCAAAGGTGTTGATAAAATGTTGTATTTTTGCAAGGTTTTATTGTCCAAACAGAACTTCAATCATTCCCATTGTGTCACTTAAATAAACAGATTTTTGTACATGAACCTCGTGATAGATTGTCAACTTAATTTGTAGTGCATTTGATTAACAACTCAAACTAAATAATTAATATTTTATTTGTCTTGTAAAAGGTTAACATCCCTAACATCTTGGAATACTTGACAATACCGGTTTGTGTTATGAACAAATTGTCTTTATTTTACTCTCCCCGCATTTCAAAAAATGATTTCTTATTTCTTTAAATTTTACAGTCAATTACTGTTTACTTTGTTAATTTTGTAATAGTGACAAATTAAGGATGTTACAATTCTGAGAAACTACATTTATTTCTCAGTTTCTTCAGTTTACCATTCTGCATGGTGAGTTTTATTATAAAGTACATTTCTGGTAATTCTTATCGATTTTCAATCACGTACAATTTGAATGCAGGGCTGTTACTTGAGTATCTTCGTCGTGTAGAAATGCAAATTGATTCTAAAGACCTAAATACTTCTTTCACTACTTTTAAGGGAATTCAATGCTCACAGGTCAACTTACTAGTTAGAGGATTTACATTTGAGTCTTCAGTTCTTAAAAATCTCCGATTGAGGTGAGTTTCTCTTGTCTTAATCATTCTCTATTTATGGTCATTTTCTTAGGATAATACTGTCTATTTTTAAGAACCAGATTATGAAACCCCCTGTTCCTAGTCCTGCCTGTAGGGGGCGCTGTGGGGTGACCCGTCGGTAAACATGGAGCAGATGAAGCTGTTCCTCACATGAGAGTCATTGGTCTGTTGATGCCCCACCGGCTCTGCTTTCCTCTGCCTGATTGTATCTGCTGGATCTTACTGTACAGCGGTGCCCTGAACGCACCACAGGGAGGAGTGACCATATTTATACATCTGTGGCAGTGACAATATTAACAGACATAAAGGGAGAGCACACAAACGCATCATACTGAAAGATGTCTGCGACCCCGCAGCCCGCAAAGATGAAAAAGGACGAGTCTTTCCTGGGGAAATTAGGAGGAACCCTGGGGCGGAAGAAAAAGTCTAAGGAAGGTAAGTTGTTTTTTTATATAAAAAAAGGTTCTTTATCCTGCTTGGTTCTCTTTTGGGGTTTCTGTCCATGGTGCTGCAATCACATGATGGCTATTAACAATATTCCCCCTGGGAATCAGAGCACTCAAATCATGCAAAGCTCCACACAATATATGAAAAAGACATCTACACTAGGCTATAGTGTTTCGGTTTCCTAAATGTATCCTTCCTTTATGGTTGTATCGTTCTTTTTGAAGTTGATTTATTATTGATTTATAACCTCATGCTTATTGTGTCAACATTCATTATAGGTTCTATATCTAACATACTGAGCCTTACTGTAATTGCGATTCTTCTTTGGAAGTGTTTGAGAGGTGAGAGCATTTCCTCTGAACAACTCCACAGGCATTTTCCATGAGACAATGGACATAAATAGATCATAAAGATACAGTAGTGGTGCCAGGAATGCCAAGTTATGAAGATAAGGTGTAAGAGGGTCACTGTTTTAAACTTTGTTTTATCAACCCCCCCCCCCNCTGTCTTATTGTCCTACTTTTCCAGTTGGCTAAACTATTTTCTGCCCTCCCTTGGGCCAGACAGTGTGGTAAAACAGACAGCTGCAAGGTTTAGTGTGTGTGTGTGTGTGTGTGTGTGTGTGTGT